CCCGCGCTGCAGAGCAGCCGCCACAAGAAGACGGCAGAGCCGCGCTGGTGGGATAAGGCTTTAATGAGGGAAGGAATCCATCCACAGCCCCTCCTGCGGCACCACAGCCCCGTCACGCACCCCACAGCCGCTTCGGGGAGGCACCATCCAACCCAAGGAGCCACAGTGCCAAACCGAGGGTCCCGTCCTTCCCCCCCGCCCGGGGGATGCGCGGCTCCCCGCTGGGACGCGCCCGGCCCTGCGTGGCTGCGGGACGAGATCTCCAACGCAAAGTGCAACGCGGAATAACCAACCCTGCAGACCCCAGGGCACCGGCAGCTCCAGGAGACGGAGGGGCCCGTGGCACAGAGCGCCCTGACCGACGGCCGCACGCTGTGCTGGGCCCACGCGGATGCTGGTTTGGGCAGAGCAAAAAAAGCACACAGCTCATGGCAGCCAGGGAGAGGATTGCGGCACTGGGGTCCCCCAAACCCACGGCCACACCTTAGCCGAAAGCCCCCCCCGACCTATTCCCATGGGTGCTGCAGGGCGAGCGCCCCGGCGAGGGCTGGTGCCTGCGAGGCAAGGGCTCAGGGCCAGCCCCTGCCGCCGGTGACCCCTGGCCAGCTCCCAAGACCACAGCTGCTCACTGGGCAGCCTGCTGCGATGCTGCCCCTCCGCCTACAGAGCAAGGAAGAAACCCCAAACCTGAGACCCCCAGAGCACGGCCCCCCGAGCCTCAGAGACTCCCAAAGCAGTCCCAGGCCGAGCACCGTCAGCACCAACGGTGCCGAGCCCCAGCCACGCCAGCTCCTCCCTGAAGCCCTCGCAAACGGGACGGTAGCAGAAGGCAGCAGTAAGGCGAAGGGCTGGCCGGCAGCAGGGGCTCTGGCCGGGCACGGGTGGCGAGGGCTGCGCTGCCGGCATGGGGAGGCGGAGGGAAAACTCCCAGGGCTGGGACGGCGAGCGACAGCTCCTCTCTGGCATATGCCCACCAGGTGCCCCGGGATGCACTCCGCTCCCTGCTGGCACCCCGGGCAGGAGCAGCGCGCCGGACGGACGCCGTTAACCTGGAAGCTGCCACGCTCGCAGGGCTGGTCCTGTGACGCCGAAGGGCCCAGCCCCTCGTGCTCCCCCACCAGCCCCCCGCTCCCAGAGCCCCCAGAGCGAGCGGCACGTCCCCCCGGCAGCTCGGGGCCGAGCCCGGGCCCCGCCGGCTCTTCTCCTGCAGAAAGTTCCCGCATCAACTCTAGGGTCTGAGCAAGGGGGTGGCCCGGCGGCAGCCGCTGGGCGCACGCAGGGGCCGGCCTGGTGGGCACCGGGTCCTGGTGGGCACCGGGTCCTGGCCGGTGGGGCAGGACGGGGTATCCGGGTGGGCCAGGCACGGGGCGGCTAGCAGAATTCGGAGGACAGGTGGATGAAGTCATCCGAGGAACCCGAGCCCAGGACGCAGTGCGCAGCTGAGCCATCCTCTCTCCTTCCCTTTTCCTAGCGGGATCCCAGCACAAGAGAAAAAAGAAAGAACAGAAGGATTTGGTCAGTGGCTGAGCCAGAGGCCCCCCTGAGTCCTGCGGCGCACCCTGAGCTCGGGGCCGGGGCTCCCCCCGCAGCCGTGGCCCGGGGGGCTCCCATCGGACCCCCCCCCGCTTTTCTATGAAATGGGAAACAGCTTGCAGCGAACACCAGGAAGCGCAGCCCGACAGCTGCTCGGCACAGGGCCACCGAGACGGCGCACTACGCGTGTTAGGCGAGAGAAGAAGGACCGGCCGGACCGGGGTGCCGCGTCCTGCCAAGCTCTGCCCGCGGGGTCGCAGATCCCTGCCCTGCCACAGATCGCTGCTGGCCCTTCGCATGGCCGCAGACGAACGAGCGGTCAGATCCCTGCCGCGGCAGCGGCGGCCATCTCCTCTAACAGCCAGAAGACGCCACACTCACGACGCAGCACCTCTGCCCGTCCCCAGGGCGCTCAGGCAGGCAGCGGCTGCCCCTCGGGGTGTCCGCCTCTCCTTCCCAGCCCGTTTCCCAAAGCGGCGCGGGATCCGTGTGCCCGCAACACCTCCAAACCCTGCCGATGCCCGATCCTCCCCGGGTCTGTCCTCGAGCACGGGGTGCGGGGAGCACAGCGGCTCCCCGAGGCGGACGGTGAGCCCCCTTACCTGCTGGTACTGCAGGATCCCCTCCTGCTCCTGCTGCATCCTCCACAGCTCCGTCTCATCCGGCTTGTAGCTGCCGGGGACCACGTAGTCGTCGGGACGGTCCGTGCTGCACATCTCGCAGCCCGGCCGCGTGGGCTTGTTGATGAAGGTGCATTTTGGACACGACCAGCCCGCCTGCAGGGACATGCGCGAGATGCAAAAGCTGGGAAAAATGCTTTGGAGAGAGGGAAAGGGGGGATAGAACACCGAGGGAGCGCCCACCCTTCCCCAGCACCCCCCAGACTGGGAGAAAGGGAGGACACTGGGGGGGGCAGAGCAGGGTGGCAATGGGGGGGACACTGGGCCACGCACCTGCACTGGCGAGGGCAGACTCGTGGCAGCAGGCTTTGGCTGGGCACTGAAAAGGTCGCCGATCTGCAGCGTGTCCAAGTGCTGGCTGATCTCACCGATGTCCATCTTCCTGCCGGCCTCATTCCCCCAGCCTGGAGAGCGACGCCGGGGAAGAGGGACGTTACAGCCAGACCAGGGACCGGCGCGGGACCAGGCAGCCAGGCCTGGCCAAGAGCGTGCCACGCTGTGCCGGGGCGGCCTCTGCTCTCCAGGGAAGAGGCTGCTCGTCCCGGGCAGGGAGCACGGGTCCCAGGGACCAGCCCTGCCCCAGCCCTTCGGCACAAGTGGGGTTGGCCCACGGCGCTGAGCCCGCTCCCGGTCCCACAGAGCCCAATGGCTCGTGGCGCAGGACTCTGATACGCGACAAGAGGAGGGCCCGGGGCGGACGCTGGACCTCGCCTCACCACTCCGCTTTCCGTAAAGGGAGGAAACAACAGGGAGGCCACGAAGGCTCTTCCCGAGCATGCTCGGCAGCACAGAGGGTGCAGGCAAGCGATGGCTTCCCATGACGGAGGGCATCGGCTCCCAGAGCCCCGCTCCGCTCCATCCTGGAGAAGCCACTCAGCCTTTTCTACCGGTGCAGCAGGGCCTGAAGGTACCAGCCCCTGGAGGTACCGCCCAGAGAGCCCCCCAACACCCCACACATCCTCACCCACCCCGGCACAGGAGCACCCATGATGCCAGGGTCCCCGTCCCTACTGCTACACCCAGTCCGGCATCCTGCGCTGGAGCCAGGCAGGACCCAGGCTGCCCTCCCCACCGGCGGCCGCAGGGAGGGCGGAGGTGAGCCAGACCTTTCTTCGGAGACATGTTGGGCAGGGTGTTGTATTTGCGCGTTTCCCCGGCAGCGTCGCTCAGCGAGGAGGTGGAGCTGAGCATGAGCTGGGCCTGGTCCTCCTCGTAGCGCTGCTCGGTGAGCTCAGCCATCTTTGCCGAGAGCAGGTAGAGGAACGCGGTGTCGCCATCCCTGCGGATGCCGTAGGAGGAAACGGTCCGTTCGTCCACGCACAGGCACTGCCCGATGATCCAGCGCTGAACCAAGGGGTGGAACCCGTAATCCTGGAAGATCTGGGCAGCAGGAGAAGCTCAGAGGTGAGCCCGCAGCCACGGCTTCCTTGCAGCTTCTCACCCCGACTCGTGGCTCGGCAGCGGCCGTGGCCACGCTGGCATGCCTCAGCGAGCCAGAACTGGGGAAGAGCCGGCTCCACAAAGGGAGAGGAGCGGCTGGGAAAGCCCAGCTCCCATGCCGCCGGTACAAGCATTTAAAAAGGGGGCTGTGGGGACCCCAGGGGTTCCCATCTCGCGGCCGGGCTGGGGGGCTCACACCGCGTGGCATCAGGCTCGCACCGCTCCGTACCTGCTGCTTGAGCGTGGCTATTGTAGTGTGAGCGCGGACCCTGATGGTGATGCTTGCAGAAGACGTCGCATCCTCCACGCCGACCTTCATGCTGGAGAAGAGAGATGGATACGGTTAGAGGGGGGCTGCCGGGATCGGGGTATGGCGGTGCGATGCTCTCAGCCTGCTGCTCCGAGCCGCGGAGCCAACGCCGCAGGCGGTGCCCCGCAGGGGAGTCCCGCGAGGTCTAACAGCGTGTTTCCAGCCGTGATCCGTATATCACATCCCGGGAAACCGGGACAGGCATCCCCTGGCCTTGGCCCTGCCTGCCTCCGCCCGCAGCTCCCAGCCTGTGCCTGCCGAGGACTGCATCCCGAACCTCACGTCTAGCCCTCATGGGGAGCTTGCTTCCCCCCAGGTTTGTTTATCCTCTATTCCAGCCTCTTTATCCTTGCAGCCTCGGCAATGATTTCCACCATGTACTTAGATCCAGTGAGAAAAAATATTTCCTTTCACTTGCTTTGAATCTGGTGCTTCCGAATTTCCTGAGGCTCTTCGCCCACCCTTCTCTACACCAGTCCCTGACAGACCCCCCTCGCCCCCAGCTGCCTCTCCTCCAGACCAGAGCCTGAACCTTTTAGGCTCTCCTCTTGCACAAGGTGTTTCATGCCTCTAAGCATGAAATCTAAGCTGGATTTCCCAAGTATTAAGACAGAAACCAGCAGGTAGGGCTGGAATCTCCCGTTTGGTCCCTCACCTTTTCCTAACGGCTCCTGTATTGGGTTTGCGTGGCAAGGTTTTGGCAACGGGGGGGCTACAGAGGCGGCTTCTGTGAGAAGAGGCCAGAAGCTTCCCCTGTGTCCGACAGAGCCCATGCCGCCGGCTTCACGATGGACCCGCCGCTGGCCAAGGCCAAGCCCATCGGCAACGGCGGTACCACCTCTGGGATAACACGTTTAAGAGGGGGAAAGAACGCCGTGCGCCGCTGCGGGGGACGAGGTGGAGAAAATCGGGAGTGAAGTTAAGCCTGGGAAGAAGGGAGCGCTGGGGAGAAGGGGTTTTAACATTTGGTTTTATTTCTCATTATCCTACTCTGATTTGATTGGTAATAAATGAAATTAATTTCCCCAAGTCGACTCTGTTTTGCCTGTGGCGGCAACTGCTGAGTGATCTCCCTGTCTTTATCTCGACCCACGAGCCTTTCGTCGTATTTTCTCTCCCCTTTCCAGCTGAGGAGGGCAGCGATAGGGCGGCTTGGTGGGCACCTGGCGTCCACAACTCCGAACGCTGCAGGGCGTGCTGAACGCCACTGGCCCTGCCTGAGCCGCCCGCCGTCTCGCCAAGCCCGCTGCATCGCAGCCCGCTGTCGCGTGCCCACCAGCGTCTTCCCTGTTTGCTCCCCTTCGCATTTATCAGCGTTGAGTTCAAGTGCTCGGAGCCACAAGACCCATCTGTAAGTCCAGTCCTCGCGACTCGTCCACATTTCCTCATTTGCGTGTCCCTGGAACAGCCCCGTCTCCGCAGACGCCTCCGCTCTCTGCTGCGATACGCAGCTCTCCGTTCCTGCCCTGCGTCTCCCACCTTTCGGCTGGTTATCAATCCAAAGGAGGACGCTCCCTCCTGCTCCACAGCACACTGCTCTCCTTGAAAGCTTCTAAGGAAGCTTGCCAGAAGC